AAACTGATATATTTTAATTTCACGATAAAAATCTTAGGTTTATAAAATCCTTTAAGGTAATAAAGAGGTCAGTAATAACCACTGGTATTGTATACACATGAATATATGTATACATGCACAGGCTAAGTCAGTACCCTTGACATAATTTGATAGTAAGGGTAATTTTAAATATTTCTGGGCCACCTTTCAGAAACGGGAACTTCCATTCCTTTGGCTGTAGGAAATTAGAAAGATGAGGAGCTAGCAAGTTAATGGTCTTAAATAAAGGAAAATGATTTGATTATTTTTCATTTTGTTTAAACACTTTTTCATGGTACAACATTCTTTTACAATTTACATGTCAAAATTTAGTTCCCCACTGTACAATATCAAATTCCTTGCTTATGAATTCTCTTTATGTATCTATATCATGAAATTTCCTAGTAACTCTTAGTACAGAAAGGCTGTTTGCAAACCTGAACCTCTCATTCTTGCTTCTAGAAACTATCCTGATTTTAAGAATAATGTGCAGGGCCTTTTTTTATTTTTCTTAAGATGGTGCTATTTTTCTGTAATTCCATTTTTTAAAATCCTATGTCTGTATAGCAAAATAAGTGGATATAGATGTTTGTAAGATTGGGTAGACCAGCTTTATTTAGCCAGAACATTTTTTAAAAATATGTGCCTTTAATAAGTGAGTCAGAGACAGATACTGCATGATTTCATTTATATGTGGAATCTAAACAAAACAGACTCTTAAATAGAGAACAAACTGGTACTTGTCACTGGGGACACGGATGGGATGATGGGCAAAACAGATGAAGGGGATTAGGAGGTAAAGACTTCTAGTTATAAAATATGTCACAGATGAAAATATAGCATTTGGAATATAAATAATACTGTGATAATGTTGTATGGTGACAGATGGTGACTACACTTATGGTGGTGAGCAGTGAGTAATGTATGGAATTGTTACATTACTATGTTGTGCACCTGAAACTAATATAATATTGTATGTCAATTATATTTCAATACGTTTTTAAAAATGCCTTAAGAATATGCCTTTAGGCAGTAATGCACTTTCCTTTAGAATCCTGCTTCACATAACACTTTTCTGGCCCCTGAAGGCTTTTGTGACCCTTGCTATAAATTATAGCATAGTGAATTTTTTAGTTTTTTTCTTTTTATTTATTCATGAGAGAGACAGAGAGAAAGAGGCAGAGACATAGGCAGAGAGAGAAGCAGGCTCCATGCAGGGAGCCCAATATGGGATTCGATTCCAGAACCCCAGGATCACGCCCTGGGCTGAAGACAGATGCTTAACTGCTGACCCACCCAGGCATCCCAATTTTTTTAGTTTCTTATATTGCCATCTTGATCAGAAAAGTACTAATTAAAGGTAGAAATAATAAAGTTGTCATGTTGGTCACATTCTTTAGTAATTCTTTTATGTGAATGGCTGACATAATGTAGAAGTATTGCTTTGATCAATTAAACCCCTAAAAGACTTTTTGTTATCCTGGAGCAACGCATAAAATAGAAAGTATAGAAAAGAGAAAGTAATGAAATTATTAGTATTTGTAGGTAGGAGGATTACCTGGCAAACATAAGAGTTAACTGGAAAATCAATTGAAAATGCTGTAGTAACAGTTGTGAGAATTAGGCTGCATCTTTAACATTGTAAGCTGTCATAAAAATTTGATTTTGAAGTTATTAACGTAGCCAGTATAGAAACTGTAAATTTTCATGGAATTGTATGACATAGGTAGTATAAGAAATAAATGGTGAATAGTAGGAATATGTATTTTTAATACCATTTAGGTGGCAAATAATAACATGTAAATATACAAAAGTCAGTATCCTGGAAGCCCATAATCAGAAGATGTAATGGAAATCATTTCATTCATAGAACAACAAACATAAGAAAAAGGTTTAAAGACAGTTAAAAAGAAAAGAGAAGGTTAAAAGACAGTTTTACAAAGAAATACAAAACTCCACTAAAGGTTTTGAAGACAGACTTGAATAAATGAAAATACATATCATACTTCCTGGGACAGTAATACTTAACACTGTGTCTTGTGGACATATTAGTTTAAAGCTGAACTGCATTTCTAGTGCCATCAAGAGGAGCAGAAATCAAAGCCCAGAACTTCAGAGGTGGGAGATATCTCTGGTAAATTAACTCCCATTTTAAGATGACACCCTGAAAGAAAAGGGTGGAACTGTGTACATTACAGCACTGTCATGATTTTGCATCCTGATCTTGTGTCCTGTTAGAGATCTGACCTGGGTTAAGTTGTCAAACCTGGATTAAGATACCTAGTTGTAATTCCCCCAGCTCGAGCTCCTAGAAGAAACAAAAATCTTCTTGGAGAAAGTTATCGTTATTCTAGGCCTGAAATTAGTCATAGAACCATGTAACTATACACACATGCGCATGTGTGCATGCACAAATATACACGTGTATTTTTGCATACAGTGTTCAGCTCATGAGTATAACTAGGTACATGGTATCAAGAGTAATAAGCAGCAGGACCAACAGACAAGAGGTGACCAGAAAGTCTTGAGATACTGGAATTATCAAAGGTAATTTAACAAGTTGAAAAAAATAAAAGCAAAGTCAGTACATACTGGTAGGAAGTTGGAAACCATAAAATAGTGACTAGGCAGATTTGAAAAAGAACAAGCTTTAGAATCATAAAATACCCGAAATTAATTCAATGTGCAAGATTAACAGATAAAGCTGAAGTGAGCATTAGTGAATTGGAAGATAGATTTCAGAAGAAGCTATGCAAGAAGGAACACAAAAGAAAAGTAGGGAAAATACAGAAGACTCAAAGAGGATATAGTGAGAAGATCTCTATTTTTATCTGAGTCCCAAAAGTAATGAGGAAATGAAGACCAAAGGAAATATTTGAAAGGACAAACTGACCAAAAGAGAGTACAAAAACAAGTCCTATAACACTTGATTTATTACAAAGGCGGCACTGTAGAGTAATATTGAATGGTTTAGATTTTCGGTGATTGGTAATTGAGTATACAAATAAAATGGAATTGGACCATAAACAAAAATCAGTTGTATTTGGATTATAGACCTAAAAATGTGAAGGTCAAAACAATAAAGCCTTTCAAGGGTAATGTAAAATAATCTTCCTGACTTGGGTAGAGGAAGATTTAACTTACGTAAAATGACCTTACAACCAAAACCATGCTAATAAGCAAGGGGCACTGGGGTTGCTCAGTTGGTTGCGTGTCAGAGTTGGATTTGGCTCAGGTCATGATCTCAGGGTTGTGAGATCAAGCCTTCAGTTGTGCTGTGTGTGGAGTCTGCTTGTCCATCCCCCTCTGCCCCTCCCTCTGTACATGTACACACTTTCTCAAAAGAATAGAATCTTTAAAAAAAAATGCCAAGCAAACAGCATTAAGGGAAGAGGAAAGGCATTTGTCATACAACCCACAAAAGCCTTAAATATACTGAGAGCAAAACAAAGCTGTATATTAATAATAAAAAGGCAGCCCCATGGAAAAATGAGCAAAATATTTAACACTTCACCAAAGATGAAACTGAAACTATCAAAGGGCTTTAAAATAATAGAGAACTTGGGAGATCCCTGGGTGGCTCAGGGGTTTAGCACCTACCTGCCTTTGGCCCAGGGCGAGATCTTGGAATCCTAGGATAGAGTCCCACGTCAGGCTCCCTGCATGGAGGCTACCTCTGCCTGTATCTCTGTGCACCCACCTCCTCTGTCTCTGTCTCTCATGAATAAATTTTTAAAAAAATTAGGGAACTCAATACTTATTCTGGTTTTATTAAAATGAAAATTTAAATGGAATCTAGAAATAATAGGGAATCAGCTAATGAAAATTTTAGGGATTTTAATGATAGGAATGCCATTTGTTATTTACATATTAGTATATTAGTAGGTTTACAATATATTAGTGTATAGAATATTATCCTACATTGGTAAAAAAAAAACAAAACAAAACGAATATACGTGTTGTGTGAAGTCTAGAATATTTCAAACAATGTGTGTGGAGGACAGTACTTGTGATGATTTAATCACTTATCTCCTTATTTGTATTTTCTATTGCTTCTAAACTAAACATGTACTGTATTTGGGGCAGTTGATAATAGTGTACCCAAAATAGGGCATTTTATCTATTTTTCCATTATGGAAATCACCTATTTTTTATTAAAATTCTGAAGGAATCATCCATCTCTTAGCATTAGAAAAATGCATGTTCATGTACAGAAGCACATAACCATATAGTATGTGCAGTAGCAACACAGAACGTGGAATGCTGTCAGGACTGAGTGACTAGTAGCCTTCCATTTGCTTTCCGCTTAATTAGATCCTTTATTTTTTATTATTTTTTTCAGTTGCAATTACTACCCAATCTTATCTCCTTTTAACTATTTCTTTTAGCTTCCCCTTTTCTCTTTTACTTTTAGGACGCTTTGTGCCCTTTATGTATATAGAACATATATAAAATGCACACTTTTTTTTTCAACTTTGAATTTACAGAGTCTAGGGCTTTTCAAAGGAAAACTTCATTAAAAGTTTAATATTTTACTAATTTTGGACTTTTCACAGGAAAAAAATGAGCCCTTTCAAAGGTAACTTTCAGATAAAGTAACGAGTATGGTATTTGAAAAGTGATTTAGACTGTAGGTTTGAACAGGAAAGGATTTGTTTTCTGGCTTTTTCTGTCATAGCACAAGGGTTCTGCTTTTGTTTTTTATTTTAATTTGGGTGAGATGTTACCTGACAAAATAAAATAAATTATGTGCTGTATTTGTTTTGCCACAACTATAAGAAGCTTCAAGATTAATTTAGGTTTCATTGTTTACCCTTCTATACTTTTCTGCTTCAACTTGTAATTGTTTTTAGGTTATTGTTCTTTTTGTCATTTTTGGGCAAAAACTTTAAATGTGCCTGTATGTAAATATGTATACAAATGCACACACATAAGTGCAGTGCCACACACTGTATAAATATGCTGTTTTGAATTTCTTTTAGCCAACAAATGGAATCTTCTTGAGCATGTTTCTGATAGTTTTACCTTTGGAATCTATGGCTCATGGGCTCTTCCATGAATTGGGTAGCTGTTTAGGAGGAACATCTGTTGGATATGCTATTGTGATTCCCACCAACTTCTGCAGGTACAGTAATTTAGTATAATTAGCAGTAACTACTTGAACATTTTCCTAATATTTATATGAATTTGAATATTAAGTGTGATAGCTCATTTTTTCAAAAGTATATTTTCAAAATATGATGCCCTTGCAATTTTTTTCCTTTACCCCAAATGTTGAAAGACATTTATTTATGCTGTGTAGTGATAGAATCTTAAGGATTCAATTTAAATATTTTGATAAATGTGATTAGCTTATACTTAGCTAGAAATCAGAAAATATGCATGACAGTTCTAAGGAAAGGTCTAAAGGTTATCTTGTTTATGAAAATGTCCTGTGAAACAACATGGCAAAATGTAATAGAAATGTATTCTGGACCCGAGAGTCCTAATTCTGGTTTTTTATTACACTAGGCAAATCTTAACTTCTCTGAACTTCAGTGTCCTTATCTAAAATGCAAGCAATAGGAGGTGTCTGGGTGGCTCAGTCGGTTAGGTGTCCAACTTTGTATTTTAGCTCAAGTCATGGTCTCAGAGTGGTGAGGAGGAGCCCCCAAGCGGGCTCTGCGCTGGGCACTGAGCCTGCTTAAGATTCTCTCCCTCCCCTCTTGCCCCACCTCCTCCCCCCAAAATGCAAACAATACCTATTTTTTCCATCTCAGAGGAACATCATGAAGAGCTAATGAGAATATGAATGTAAAAACAGTGCCCATTGGAAAATGTCATACAAATACCAGAAATTTACAAAGTTGAGAATGAAGTTAAGCATTATTTGTTTCATTGTAGTTTTATTCCAAAATAATTTCGCCCCTAAATGTGTGGCAGATCTTTCTGAATCTGTAAATACTGCCACAATAAAATTTTTTAATAGTACTTTGAAATACAAAAAAAAATAGTTATTTGCTATTAATAAATTTTTATTACCAAATATTCATATTTTCTGTGGTGGTTTTCAAGATGGGGGAGGAGGAAGACTTGAAATAAAAAAGTTATTTCAAATATTTGACATAAAAACCAAAAATAGACTATTTGTAGTAAATATTTTCCTCGTGGTAAAGGCTTTATTAAAAGTGGCAAATTCATATGAGAAGTAAAAGAAATAGATTTAAGAGGGTCCCATAAAGTAAGATGTGATAGTTCAGGTGAGAAAATATGTGGAAATAGTAATTTGCACAGATATTCTAATGTTTGTTAGTGCATTGTTTATTTTACTGTTTGTGACTGCTAAATGTTACAAATGGAGAACAAAATGCCTTACTTTTTTAATGAAAACTGGTAATAGAATAATACTGGTAATATATGAAGCAAAATAGGACGTTTTCAAGACTATTGAAATTCCTTTTCTGAAAATTCTTTTTCTGAAAAGGAGTGATCGTTTTTTTTTTCCTCCCTCAATATTGGTATTTTGATTCTGCTAGTTTTAAGATGTGGTTTAATCATCTTTACTAGGTTACCATTTTACATTTGTTCTAGGATCAGATCTGTCTCTGGTTAGTGTTCTGTAGTATAAGGGAGTAGGCCTAAATTTTAAAAATTGCTTCAAAATGCCATTTACTAATGTACTTTCTTCTGTCATTTATGTTCCTTATGTTAGTAGAACTTGAACTTTATAAAGCTTTTTCAATACAGAAATATAAAACACATTGCTTCCATATTTTGTTAAAATTTTGCCAAGGAAAACAGTTCTTTCATTATAGTTCCTACACCTTGGTGTTCCTGAAACACAGGGTAAGATATGTATGATCTTGCTTTTAGAAAGTCTTATTCCATATCTGACATTTGGTAAAACTATGAATACAGAACCAAAAATAGTATTATCTACATTTGGAGATATTTTCCCAGCTTTCAGTTTGGTAATTATTTTACTGGTTAGAAGTAAAACTTTTAGAAATTAGGCTCTGATGTTCAAGCTTAATTCTTAGCACTTTTGAAAAAAGGATTTTTAAAAAAATTCTGCCATTTAGTTATCAGCAACTATTAATGATTCTTAGATAATTATAAGTGAAGGGTAAGACTGTGACATAGAATGAACACTCTTTTAACACAAAAATCATTTTTTTTGTTCTTCAGTCCTGATGGTCAGCCAACACTTCTTCCACCAGAACATGTACAGGAGTTAAATTTGAGGTCTACTGGCATGCTCAATGCTATCCAAAGATTTTTTGCATATCATATGATTGAGACCTATGGATGTGACTATTCCACAAGTGGACTGTCTTTTGATACTCTGCATTCCAAACTGAAAGCTTTCCTTGAACTTCGGACTGTGGATGGACCTAGACATGATACATATGTTTTGTATTACAGTGGGCATACCCATGGCACAGGAGAGTGGGCTCTTGCAGGTAAATGCACCTCTGGCAATTTCACTATTACTAAGATAGACCTATTCGTGGAAATCTACCCCTTCACACTGAAACATTAATTTCCAAAATTCTCAATTTTCTACTTCACAGTTTACTAAGTATACATATGACTCTGTTTTATTTTTCTTTTCTCTAGCATACTTGTTTAGCATAATATTAGTAATCTCTAAAGGTTATGAGAATTATGTCTTATATTGACTGGAAGAAAAAAATCTGCTTAATGTATTTTCAGAATTATTAAAATTCCATTTTTTGGAAGCTGATTAATTTGACCTATACTTCTAAGTCTTTAAATGTTATGGATGCTGATTTCAGTAGTTTGTACATATGCAGTTTTATTTATGTTAGACAGTTCACCAAGATTTTGAACAGCAAGTGATGTGATATGGTGGGACTAGCGCTTAGATCAGGAGACCTTGGTTCTGGTCCTGGTTTTGTCACAAGTTTTATTTTTGACGAATTACCTAACTTCTCTATAGCAATTCTCTCCTCTGTAAAATGAGGGGGTAATATTAAATCTCCCTGTCATGAGAGAGGGAGATTGAGATCTATTTTATATGTAAATTTGTTTGTTGAGCTTCCCAACTAGAATAGAGACTATGTATATGTAAGTCACGAGCTTTATGAATTACTTGCTTAGCACCTAGAATAGAGCCTGGCTATCCCTAGTAGGGATCCTTAAGTAATGGATACATGGATGAAATCATTGAATGAATCATGGGGGGGGGGGGGGGGGAGAAAGATTTTTTTTTTCTTATTTTATGTTAGAAATAGTTCTTTTGGAACTTAATTCTATCCTCTTTTTTCCTTAAATATTGTAGATGTTTTATACTGAGAACACACAGAAATAATAGAATTGACCTAAGTAGAAATAGATATTCAGTTCAAGGACAAATATCAACAGAAGTATTATGGAAGGACAGAGAGACCTCTCTCAACACCAGAACTCCAAGTAGAGATGATCTTAACCATCATGGTCTCACTAATTTCATGCTAGATTTGTAATGAGGGTTTTATCAAAAAATACTGTTGTAATTTTTGGTTTTGCAAATAATTATTGAATAACTTAATGGCTGTCTAGAAGTAAAGGCAAACATTTATGGGGCATATTTGAAACAGTTACGATGCTTGGCACTTGATATACATTAAATTTAATCTTCACTTGAAATATTTTGAGGTAAGTACTATGACCTCTCTCATCTCTTCATTTTTTAAAGAATAAAATGAAAACTTCCAAGTTGTTACATCTCTGTGGCCATACATTTGGTAAGTGATGGAACCGTGATTCAAATCCAGACCTGCCTAACCCCTTGAAGTATTTTTCCCCCTTGTGCTGCCAAAGGCAAAAACCATTAAGATAGAGAAAATCACATACTCTGTTTTAGTAGATCTTTTTGATAGCACGGTTCACCCATTTTCTAAAATACTGTAGAAGAAGGTAGTCAACGTCAAAATTACTTGAATATAGTTTGGGAAATCTTTTACTTGACCTGTAACTCAATGTAGAAAACAACTTTTTAACCTTTATGGCTATTTTAATTCTAGATAAAGTATAGTATTCTGTGTACTTGACCTTAGAACACAGAAGAAAAAGTTGTCGTCAATTCAAAAATCTTTACAGAAATAGAATTTCAGACCTAAAACCTAGGATTGATTATTGAAAACTTACTGCAATGCTTATAATAATGAACTGTCTCCAAATCAAAAGGGATAAAAGACGTAATTTTGGTGCTCATGCATATATCCTTGGTTATTTGTAAGTATTTTAAGAAAGTGATTTAAAAAGTAAGCTTGTTGTATTTTTACATGAAAGATTAATATAAATTTTTTTCAGAACATTTGTATTTTTCCTCCTAAATCTTTTAAGATTTCAAGCATCTTTTAAAAGATGGCTTTGGAAATAAATTCTAGATGTATAGTTTACTGCTATTTATATCAGCTTTTTCTTTTCCTAGGAAAAATAATAGACACCAACACAAATAACATATATATCAATGTTCTTAAATTTTCACTCACTGAGTTAGCAATAATTTATGAAGACTTAAACATTCTAAAGTGTGGCTATATTTTAGATAGATATCTAGCAATTATATTCTGGAATGGTATCTTTATAGAATTTTTTTTTTAATATGTCACCAATAAGTTAACACCATTATACAACTCCTCTCTTAGCCAGGAAGATTTATTCTTGTATGTATAACTTTCTTGGTGGTAGACATTTTTTTACTTTTTGTAAAAAAAAAAAAAAGTAGAACACAGTGGAGAAAGAATTGCTTGACATGGCCCTGCCTTCTCCAAGAAGGGTAGCTTCATCCTGTAATTCAGCAGCTGTATACTCTCTCAGCTTAAGGCACCAAGCCCACTTGAAGGTAACCAGGTTGGACCAGGCGTAGAGGCTGAGCCTTCCTCAGGAACTGAAGTCAGTTCCTGCCCTGGGCTGCCAGAGACATAGCCCTGAAAGGCAGATAGTACTAAAAAATAGAACAGAACCCTCCTGCTTGGAGGAAAATGCTTTAATCCATTCCAGCCCGTGTGACAAAGAGCTGTAAGCTGTGAGAATTACATCTTCATAAACACCTGTAAAATAGGAAACATGATAACTGGATTTTACCTGAGTTAGCAAGTTAAGAGTAGGTCCAGAACTAAATACTAAATACCACTGTGAGAAAGAGAATTCTGTATCTGCCTTTATATCATATATCTTTACTGACAATATTTGTTAGACGATGTAGACTCCTTACATTTATGAGGCTTCATAATATGGACCCTGGTATTTTTACCTCTGAGAGTAAAAAAATAATTATGATAATGATGAGAGAAATGACAAAAAAGCTAGATAATCTGTGAATCAGTTTATCACAGATAAACAGGCCTTTAAAAAGCAGTCTCAATTACTTTAACTGCATCAGATGGCTGTTAGCTGAGATAAATGTAAGTGCTTTGCATCTTGGCCAAAAGCCAGATGCAACATAGGACCTATTCATAGGAGAAAGCAGAGCAAAACAAAACAGGGGAAGAGAAATATTTGAAAGACTTAAATGCTCCTTTAAATCTCTTATTGATATGTAAAGAGCACATATAAGAGAAGTAGTGTAGAATGTGCTTTTAGAATATTTGTTGAAATAGTTGTAGAAGGCAAGTTAGACAATGATGTTGTTTTGTGGCAGATGGAATTTGTATAATTGCTCTTGTAATCTTGTGTCATTCTCTGATCTCTAGAGAAATTGAAAGAACTGGCAATAATGAAAAGTTAACGTTTTACCATATAATAAAAGATACCTTCTGGAGCTCTTTGTGAAGCAACACATTAGTAATATATGGACACCATGTATTGAAATAGTGCCTCTGAAATGATGACTTTAAGAACAGTTCATGAAACAACTTTTTCATTGTCAAGAGTCTGAGTATAGTAGTAGACTGCTGAATAAAAGAATATTAATTGTTCGTAAAGAATGTGTTATGCCCTGGCTTCAGAGGTCATATTACTAATTGAATGTAAATACTAAAAGAATTCCCTCCCTCCGTCTGTCCCTCTGTCTCTCTCTCCCCAGTGTTGTCATTTTGATAAGACAATGGTTGCTCTAGGTAGAGATGTGTATCTGATGTTGTTGGAGCTTGTGCCAGTAAACTGTACCATGTTAAGACTTTTTCCTAATCATATAAGTACCATATGCTCAATGTAAAAATGGTAGAAAATATAGCAAAGTATAAAAAAAAATACTGAAATCCAAACACCCAGCAATAACTTGTTTTTATAGATACACTTCCATGTCATACTTTCTCTCCTAGTATCATAGACATTTTCTCATCATCAAAATTTCTTTATAAATGCCATTCTATTATTTTTTAAAAGATTTTATTTATTTGTGAGAGAGACAGAGAGAGGCAGAGACACAGGCAGAGAGAAGCAGGCTCCCTGTGGGAGCCCAATGCAGGACCCCGATGCAGGACCCCAGGATTACAACCTGAGCCAAAGGCAGACACTCAACCACTGAGCCACCCAGGTGTCCCAATACCATTTTATTACAATTCTCCCTCATAGTTTATTTCCATTCCTCCGAGTTGTTTCAGATCTTACACGTAACAGTGGGAAGAAGATCTTTATATGTAATTTTTGTCCCCATTTTTGCCCTTTTCTCAGGATAAATTCCCTAGAATTGGAATGATTGTATGAATATTAATGTACCATTGAAACAGAGCCAGGAGTAGGTTGAATAAGGATGGCAATTGCTGGGTCCCAAAATTTAAGAGGATGACAAAGATTAGTCAGGATAGTATTTTAGTGTAATATATTTAAAAATCAAAATTAATACAAGACGACTTTGTCTAATGAACTGGATGTAAAATCTACCAGCTTTAAGACACATTTGCTTTAGACCTTTCTGGGTATGTATTTTTTTAGTCCTGTGTTGTTTTTCAGTTAATAAAACAGATTTAAATAGCCATTCTAAATTTATTCTTGGCACAGGTAGGAAGAGTGTTTCTTTTTCTTTTGGTAGGTACCTACATATGAGGCAAGGTAACATTAATTGATCAGTGATTATCAAGGACCAACAAACTTTTTTCTGTAAAGGGCCAGATATTTAGCCATAAAGTAGCCATAAAGACCCAATAGTAACTGCTCAGCTTAGGCACCGTAGAACAAAAGCAGCCACAGACAGAATGTAAATGAATGTTATTTATGAAAATAATAGTATGCAATTTAAGTTTCCTGTATTTTCACATGTCACAAACTTTTGTTCTTTGGATTTTTAACCATGTAAAAATGTAAATAAATTCTTAGCTCTCAGGCCGTACAAACACAGATGGCAGGCTGGATTGGTCCATGAGCCATAATTTGCTGCTCCTGATGCAGAATAGTAGGATTTCATTTTTTTCACTAAATCTTAATTTTTTAAAACTAAACTTCATAAGACAACTTTCTTAATTTATTGTAACATATTCCTTTTTTACTGTAATAAGGATTTTTTTTTAATCTGAAATTGAAAGTCTGTTTTTAAAAATTCTCTGAAAGGAATGTTCATCTATTTTTTTTGTCCTATATATATTTAATTCCAGGAACTTAAAGAAAATATACTTAAGAGGAGGCTTCAGAAATTATTACCCTATTGAGTCTTCTTTTGTTCACAGGTGGAGACATACTGCGCCTTGACACACTTTTAGAGTGGTGGAGAGAAAAGAATGCCTCCTTCTGTTCTCGCCTTATTATCGTATTAGACAGTGAGAATTCAGTCCCGTGGGTGAAAGAAGTGAGAAAAATCAATGATCAGTACGTTGCGGTACAAGGAGCAGAGATGACAAAGACCATAGATATTGAAGAAGCTGACCCACCACAGCTGGGTGACTTTACAAAAGACTGGGTGGAGTATAACTGCAACCCCAGCAATAACATCTGCTGGACTGAAAAGGGCCGCGCTGTGAAAGCTGTGTACGGTGTGTCAAAGCGCTGGAGCGACTACACTCTGCATTTGCCAACAGGCAGCGACGTGGCCAAGCACTGGATGTTACACTTTCCTCGTATTACATATCCACTGGTGCATTTGGCAAATTGGCTGTGTGGTCTGAACCTCTTTTGGATCTGCAAAACTTGCTTTAGGTGTTTGAAAAGATTAAAAATGAGTTGGTTTCTTCCCACTGTGCTGGACACAGGACAAGGCTTCAAACTTGTCAAATCGTAATTTGGAACCTAAGGTGGAATGTTACTGAGAGTTCATACTACCAGTTATCACTAACTTGCCATTTTTTGTATATTGTTTTTTTATTTGGGAAAAATCTCTTGCTACTTCTGTAGCCGCTCTCACTTTGTCTTTTCTCAAGTAATTATGGTGTATTGTAAGATGTTGGGAATAAGCGTTTTATCCTACAAGTATGTAAGGAGTCATAAATGCTGATGCTGTGTAAATGCATAAAAGATGTTAAAAATAACAATGCACTTTGAAGAATGTTTGCCTATGCCTCAGATTAGAAAGAAAACACTTGTCTGTGCTCTGCAGTGGCCGATGAAGAATTACTAATGCCTTATTTTCTAGGCATGATTAGAGAATGTAGACCAGACAGTTTGTTTACTATTATAAGAAAATTTCCAGTTTGCTTACAAAGGATTTTCTTTGTGAACAGTAGGTTTGAGTGCAAGACCATTTGAAGAATGACATATTCTTTCTTTAGAAAGGATAAAGGGAGAAGCCTGAAATGAATGCAAAAATTTGCTTATAGTCTCCTATTCTGATGTCTTCATTGTGGCCTGTTACCAGTGTAGCAGAAAAGCCCAAGTGACTGTTGAGATCAAAACATTCTTCCCTTAGGTAACTGTAAGAAGCTAGAAGCCTACAGAGGGCCCCTTCCTGCATTGTTGGGGCGGAGGAGGGGCTCTGAAAGCACTGGCAATTTTAAGAGTCTTTCTCAGGGTAACTTTTAATGAACAATGTTTCCAGCTACAAATTGTCTTCCCTTTCAAAAAGTGAACTTTAAAAAAAAGAAAAGCAATTTCTGGTTGATTTAGGCTATTTTCACTATTCAGAAATGATTTTGATCTTGGGAATTAATGCTCTGCCATGAAAATTATCTTTCAGCTCTCATTAGTGATGCCATTTATTTCTATTAAAAGTAAAGGGATTGGAAACAGGTCATTTTTTTTCTTGTATACATGTAATGTATTATGTAAAAAAGTATTCATATTGGCAATTTTTGTTATGCATAATGGTGTGGTTGTAATTTTTAAAACTTAATTCAGTGTTTTGTCTGAATAAAGCAGGCACTGATCTGGGTATCCCCTAAGAGGTAATTTGCCTCCTGTTCCCTTCCAGTAATCCTTACATTCTACATGTTCATATCAGAGAAGTAACAGGAGGGGAATAGAATTAAGTTAGGGGATAATCTAATCTTTGTCGTTTAAAGTGTGACTTCTCACCATTGAAGCCATTTTTCCAGCCTCAGAGAGGAAGTAACGCCTCTACCATTTTCTACCTGGTGACTTGAAAACTGAAGTTTTTGTTAGGTAGAAGTCACTTAGTGTCAGGGAACTCGTATACCACTATCTATGCAGCGCTGTTATGGTCTGATTATTTCTGTGTTTTGAATATGATTTTCCTAATGTTTTGAATAAAATTTTAAAAATTAATTTTTCATGTAATGTGCAAAAAACTTTAGTTACTGAATAATTTTAATATATATTAAAAGTGGTAGTCATAAAAAATGCCCAGGTATTAGAGTTGGTAGGTTGATTTGAAATTTTCCAGTATTGGTTACATACTTATATCAACATTTTCCAGATGAAATAGTATAATGTTTCATATTATTCAGAGTTAGTATAGGAGAAAAGTCAGGTGTTAAAATTATGAGCTAATAGCTACAAAAAAGTTAAATTAGCATTAAGTAAAATCTTTTAAAATTCCGAGCCAATATTGAGCGAATTAGCTTTAATTAAAGCATGTGTCTTTACTCTGAGAAAGCCAAATATAAAGGTATATTCTGCATTCTTTATAAAGTAATATTAAGATGGTACTAATCATCAGATTCAAAAGGTAGCAGACTTTACAGCCACAGGGCTGTTATTTCGGTACACATTTTCTATGACCAAAAAAGTTCTGAGCTAAAACTGTGACTCAAGCCGATTTATTAACCACAAAGTTACAGAATATCCACTGCAATGAATTCTCCTCCCCAAACCAGAAACTATAAAAGGACAGTTAAGAGGTGGCATCCTAAATTAAAGTTGCCGCTTTAAAACATTAAAGTAATTGACAGTATAATACAGAGGAAGACTATAGGGACAAATTGGTTACTCTAACTTAGAGATTAAAAACTCGATCTGACCATTAATGAGGACAATTTTCTTACGGCTTTCATTTTATATACCATATGTTTACCAAGGAGTTACTGGGAGTAATAGGAATTCCTTTAGGGCAAAACTTTACCAGTCCACTAAATAGCTTCAATAGTTGACATGGAGATGTTTTTCAACAAAATGTTGATTTAATTTGTTTCTTACATGATGCCTTGAGGAAACCACAAAAGCACCACCCCCTAAAAAATGTCTTTTAAAAAAGTATACTGTTATGTGAACCAAGTTCTTTAATTAAGAGAACCAAGTTCTCTTCCTATAATTTTTCAGTTATGCTATTATTTCATTAAACATTTTTTAGTTTCTTCTGACTAAACTCTTCTTCCTGGGGATATTTGGATTTATCCTTGCGTAGCTTTCTATCTTGCTCTTCTTAATAAATACAAAATTGTACAGAAGACCATTTTTATGACCAGTGTTTTCATAAGTGTTTTAAAAATTGCATTGCTAATTAAAATGCATTTATATTTAATGCATTACTGGGTAGATTTTTTTAAAGTAAAATCTTCATTAGAATCTATTTGTAACTGTACATTTTGTAAATTTTGGTCTAAATATATATGATGTTTTGAGTACTGCCTTTTTATATGTGTTCTTTCCCATTTAGAGCTTAGACTCCTTCAAAGTAATGTTGTACATTACCTTTCCATAAGGGATAGCTAACATGTATGCCAGAAGAAAGTGGTTTACTTTTAAGAATTCTGTTAGGTGTATTTCATAGTGAATGGCTCAAAGGAGTCAGTACTTTTTTGAACATCTCTCCTCTATTTGGAAACATACTAGATCTTCCTCCCTTTTCAGGCAGAAGCTTACACATGTTGATATTTCTGGTATATAATTACCCAGAAGAGTGCCTTGCTCATGATAAGAGGTACTAAAAGAATATTTTTGACATTGAATTTAGAATCCTGAGGAGAAATTGGAATAACTTGATTGTAAATCACTTCATTTTCTTTATAATTTTAACGATATTTTTTTCAAGATCTTCATTCAATTAATATTAAGGACTATTACAGAATCACCAAAGGAAAACATGTCACATTTTTAAAAATATATTTTTCTTACTAACTCCCATGCCCAATATGGGGCTCAAACTCACAACGCCAAGATCAAGAATACCGTGCTCTCTACTAACTGAGCCAGGCAGGTGCCCCAAACATTTCACATTTTTTAAAAGTAGTAAATGTCAAGGTTAAAGAAAGAAAACCTCGGGTTTGAATTAAAACATAGCTCATGTCACAAAAAAGCTTTTTGTTGAATTCATTTTCATCAGGACATTGATATGATAAAGACTTTTTCATTGATTTCCCTTTAGAAACATTTAGACAAATTGGAGACTTTTCACAAATGGAAATTATTAAAAGAAGTTTGATGAACAAAGAAGATAGCTACTATGCTCATCAGTGACAACTAGACTATAAAGTCAAAAAATTGGCCCATCAACATAAACAGGTTCACAGAACAAGCTAGGGCAACTACAAGTATCTCACGTTTGGGGTATCTTCCCTATTGACTAATATGAAAAATGACATTTAATTAGTAATTACCTTGAGCAACTGTTTTGTTGACAGTAATTTACATTTATGTGTATTAGAAAGTACTGTTGCTGTTATTCTTACTTAGACCAAAGCTGATTCAAAACTAAAATCTGTAGGTTAATCAGTAAATTTTTAAATATTAATAAACACCATTTTGATTAAAAAATAAAATTGACCAGTCATCTTGTGTAATGACCTCACAGCATTTTATAGGTATTAAATTAGAATAGACAATTTTAGTAGATTTTTGTTACTACATTTCTGTCCCTACAAATATCGATCTATCACAAATTGAAGATTTTTAGTAGTGTGCCAAGGATAAGAGAGGAACATGGTGTATCTTCCTAGATATAGACCAGCAATGTTTACTCCATGTAAAGTAAAAGTATTTTTATGTTAAAACATACCAAAGTGGGACGCCTGGGTGGCTCAACAGTTGAGCCTTTGGTTCAGGGGGTGATCCTGGTCCCAGGATCAAGTCCCACATTGGACTCCCTGCAAGGAGCTCTGTCTGTGTCTCTGCCTCTCTCTCTCGGTCTCTCATGAATAAATAAAATCTTAAAAAAAAAAAAGTATTGGTAGGACTTACATTAGCTTTTAGTGTAAGTCAGAAGACTTCAAAGCAGTTTTATTTTTGTAGCAGGTCATTTGTTCTATCCTTCCCACCTCAGGACATCGAAGATTCTTTGGGTATAATATTGAATGTTATTGACATGCTATAAATGGAGGTTTGGTTTTTTTGCTTTGTTTTGTTTTAAGAAATCCTTTGTGTTGTGACTTAGAAATACAAATAGCAATGAATTTTCTCAAAACAAATAATTTTGTTTCTGTCTATATGGAGTTTTACACCTATGCCATCTTAATACAGTTTTATAATAGACATTTCTAGGTTCTTCAGAGTCCTTAACATATAATGATTTCTACACAAGTAGGTACTGGTAGGGAAAATGGATGAGGATTTTAATTTGTAATCCATATCCACTTACATTAATACCCATTCTCACCAATTTCTCTTCTGTACTGCTCTTTAACACCTAGCCTTTGGATTCCTATCTTCCTTTCTACATAAAGCAACTAATTCATCAATAACAATAAAATGACAATGTCTATCCCAAAGAGAGAGGAGTTCATAAGTAACAGACTGGAGCAGCTTCTATACCTGGGGCAAATGCCTGACTGGGTGCTGGTGACTTAGAAGTGCAACTGCCATAGGTGAGAAGATTGTGCAGGAAAAAAGAAATTGACTGAAATTTTGACAATATTGTGGGCTGGTGAGATGGGTCTGAAAGGTCATTAAAAGCTTGACCCAACAAGCATGCCCCCTTGCCCTGGAATTTTGCCAAGAAACTGGTAGTGGAGCAGGGCTTAGAGACAGAATTTATATAGCCTTATGCATCACACTTAATTGCCACATTTGGATCCAAACTATCTAAAACAACTCTTACTCCAGTTCAAACACTAAAATAATCAAGATGCTCAGTCTTGGGGATCCCTGGGTGGCTCAGCGGTTTGGCACCTGCCTTCGGCCCAGGGCATGATCCTGGGGTCCCAGGATTGAGTCCCACATCGGGCTCCCTGCATGGAGCCTGCTTCTCCCTCTCTCTCTGTCTCTCTCTCTGTCTCTCATGAATAAATAAAACCTTTAAAAAAAAAAAGATGCTCAGTCTTGACAGATGTAGCATGGGAGATTAGGGACTGGGCTAACTGAAGGTGAACTCAGTCTAATTAAAGCTGCAGCCCACCTCTAGCTCAATTCAACCTGTGGAGAATTCTGAAGGATAAGTTCCTCACCCTAATTACCAGAGAATGAAAGGCATGCACTCCTTCAACAGACCCAAATGTACACTTTACTCTCCACTGTTAAAATTTTTAAAAATGTGTTCTGCATTGTACATAAGACACAAAGAAGGGAGGAATCAGACCCATTAGCAAGAGTAAGAAGTCAAAAGGAAGTCTAAGCCACAGCAATCAGACAAGAAAAGGAAGGAAAAGCATCCAATTGGTAAGGAAAAAGTAAAACAATATTTGCAGATGGCATGATACTATATAGACTCCACCAAAACACTCCTAGAACAGATAAGTGAATTCAGTAAGGCCACAGGATACAAAATCAATATACAGAAATCCATTTCATTTCTATACACAAATACTGAAGTAGCAGAAAGAGAAATTAAGAAAAGTCTCATTTATAATTGCACCAAAAAGAATACCTAGGAATACACTTAACCAAAGAGGTGAAAGACCTTTCTGACAACTATAAAACACCGATGAAAGAAATTGAAGATGACAAAAAAATAAATGGAAAGATACTCCATGCTCATTAATTGGGAGAACAAATATTGTTTGTATGTCTATACTACCCAAAGGAATCCATAGATTCACCGGAATTCCTATCCAAATACCAATAGCATTTTTCACAACTAGATTAGAATAAATAATCCTAAAAGTTGTATGGTGCCACAGAAGACCTTAAATAGTCAAAGCAATCTTTAAAAAGAAGAACAAAACTGGAAATATCACAATCCTAGTTATTAAGACATGCTATAAAGCTGTAGTAATCAAAACAGTATGGTAGTGGCACAAAAGTACACACATAAATCAATGGAGAATAGAGAGCCCAGAAATAAACCCACAATTATAAGGTCAATTAGTCTTCAACAAAGCAGGAAAGAATATGCAATAGGAAAAGGACAATCTCTTCAACAAATCCTGTTGGGAAAACTGGACCACACTCTTTCACGATATACATAAATAAACTCAAAATAGATTAAAAACCTCAATGTAAGACATAAAACTATAAAAATCCTAGAAAAGAGCACAGGTAGTCCTTTCTCTGATGTGGGCCATAAGAACAATTTGCTAGATATATCTCCTAAGGCAGGGAAACAAAAGAAAAAATAGACTATTGAGACTACATCAAAATAAAAAGTTTCTGCACAGCAAAATAAATTATCAACAAAGCAAAAAGACAACCTACTGAATGGGAGAAGAGATTTGCAACTGACGTATCCAATAAAGGGTTAGTGTCCAAAATATATAAAGAACTTACACAACTGAATACCAAAACCGTAAATAATCCAATTTAAAAATGAGCAGAAGACATGAGCAGACATTTCTCCAAAGAAGATGTACAGATAGCCAACAGACACATGAAAAGATGCTCAACATCACTCACTCATCAAGGAAATTGCAGATCAAAACCACAATGAGATACCACCTCATACCTGTCAGAATGGCTAAAATAAGAAACACAAGAAACAATAAATGTTGGAGAGGATGGGGGGGAAGGAACACTCATGCACTGTTGGTGGGAATGCAAACTGACGCAGGAACTGTGGAAAACAATATGGAGGTTTCTCAGAAAATTAAAAATAGTACTATATGATCTTTAATTCCACTACTGGATATTTACCCAAAGAATATGAAAACACTACTTTGAAAAGATATATGCACTCCTATGTTTATTGCAGTATTATTTATAATAGCCAAATTATGGAAGCAGCCCAAATGCCTGTCAATAGGCGATTGGATAAAGAAGATAATGTGTATACACACATACACACACACACACACACACACGATGGAATATTACTCAGCTATAAAAGGAATAAAATCTTGTCATTTGCAACAACATGGATGGGTCTAGAAGGTATAATGCTAAGTGAAATAAGTCAGAAAAAGACAAATACCACATGATTTCATTCACGTGAGATTAAGAAACAACAAATGAACAAAAAAAAGAAGAGAGACACAAAAACACTCAACTATAGAGAACAGATGGTTACAAGAGTAGGAGGGTAGGGGAATGGGTGAAATAGGTGAAGGGGATTAAGAGTACATTCATCATGATGAACACTGAGTAATGTGTAGAATTGTTGAACCACGATATAGTACACTTGAAACTAATACAACACTATATGTTCATTTTATTGGAATAAATAAAAAAATAAAAGATTAAAAAAAAGAGTATGCAGGCACTTGTAGGCTACTAGCAGACGAGAATGTTTTTAAAAACTAAAATGTGTTGAGGAATT